GGCAGATGGATCACCTGAAGTCAAGAGTTTGAGACAAGCCTGAGCAAGGGCAAGACCTCCATCTCTACTAAAAATAGAAAAACTGGCTGATGACTGTAGTCCTAGCTAGACTATAGTACCAGCTACATGGGGGCTGGGTCTGGGGCTGAAGCAACTAGATCTCTTGAGTCCAAGCATTTGAGATTGCTGTGAGCTATGATGACTCTATGGCACTTTACTCAGGGCTACAGAGTGAGACTTTGTCTCAAAAAAAAGAAAAAGGGATTGGTTGGTTTGTTTCAGAATAATTAGGTCTTTTTTAAGTCTCTGGGTAGAATATATTCTATGCCTTCTCTATGAATTATAAGATTACATTTGGGAAATAAAATCCCTGATTATCTTGCTATGGTAATACAACCATTGTAATCATTTTTATATGCAGTTGTGTTGCATTTGCAGATTTTTGTATATTCATCTGTGCCTATTTGAACCTTACCCCTCCTCTTTACATCCTGTTTTCCCTCTCAGGGAGTGAGCATGGGAGGTAGGAATGAGACTTGGCTGTGGTTTCAGTTGTTCTCCCTTTCCAAGTTTCTCTGAGTGGAGTATTCATTGTGCTGGCTGTGATTCTGTTATTTAAAGCAATATATTTTTCATACTTTATGGCCTTTAATTGCAAGCCAACCTCTTCATCTGGTGTGAACCAAAGGAAAAGTGATCTGTTGCAACGCTGGAGGAAAAACTGACAATGTTGGACTTACCTATATTGAAAGATGGTATGTTTTTCTTCACCTTGGGGGTCTTCAAGTATGATTTTGACAAAACAAGATTTTGACTTGTTTTTATCTCACATGCTGACTTTTGCCTCTAACCTCTGAGTTAGGTGCAATTTCAATGTATTCTAGTTCTTTTTTTCTGTATACACTTTGTGTTATCATCTATAAACATATATTCATTTTTAAAGCTTTTAAAATATACTATGTTAAGTATCTTTCCATATCATTATATGATTTTAATAGCCATCATTTACCACAAAACCTTTTAGTTTTTGTCTTTTTCAGAAAAGTATGGGGAGCTAGTATAGTTAGTTCCTAGGAGTGAGTGCTTTCTATTTTGCATACTCAAAGACCTACTCAAAATGGTTCTGCTATAGATATTTTAAAATAAGAGCAATGAATGTGCCGCTAATTTCAAGATTTCTTAAATAGGCTTATTGTTTCTTACCAAGAATTTAGATGTGCCCAGGCATGTGGGACCTTCTCTGTGACTGGGCTCTGTAGAGTTTGGAATTCAAATTATTTAAATCAGTGTATGATCTTATTAAAAGGTGAAAGGGGCT